GGGAAGCTGTGAGGAAGCAGAGACGGGGCGCCTGACCCAGGCTAGCCAAAGAGGTATTCCATACCACAGCACGTCATGGCCGGGGTGGGGGGTAACTGGGAGTTACCCGGAAGGACACGGGCTTCTGGGTCGGACTCGTTTCTTGGCCGGTGGTATCGTATTCTCTTCCCTTGTTATTTTCTCTTATCATTGTTGTCGGTGGTGGTAGCGGTGGTGATTTGTGTTGTACATTGGTTGCTGGACTGTTCTTGTCTCAACCCGTAGGAGTTGCACTCTTTTGATCCTCCTCCCCGTTCCCCCGGGAGCGGGGAAGGGGAGAGCCCTGGGGCGCGGCCTCGATTGCTCTCAGCCCGTCACCACTCACTGGGAGTGAGTGAACAAGCTGTCTGGCTAGGGTTTAAACCATGACACCTTGCCAGAGATTTTCTGCTGATAAAGCACTGGGGTTTTGAGCAGGGGTGCTGTGTTTCATGGGGAGGATGACAGGTACCATGTTACCTGAAGGATTGCTTGCACAGCTCTTTCAACAGAGTGTAGGTGGAAATATGTGTGTTCAACATAAATATCAACATAAATATCAACAGTAATTGATGCGTAGTCATAAAAATAAGCATTAGCTTAAAGTTTAGGAACACATATTTGTAAGAGATATTTTTTAAAAATATACTTTATTCTATGAAGCAAAAGAAAAATAAAAAGGGATGGAAGAATAAGAATTTCTGGAAAAATGAGAGGTAGCTGAAGACTTCAAATCCCCAGCATGTTCAAATGCATATGGAGTAGCCAAATGTCCTGTCCCTGGTAAATGTGGCAAATAAGTCTCTGGTTGTCTTATCTCAGTCTCTCTGCTGTAGATCACACAATTTATCCTGCATAGTACTGGAGTGGGTTGCTGAAAGCAGTCGTGGAATCTGTCACTGCCATGTCCCTTGGACATCTTCTGACATCACGCAGGGTAGTCTAGGAATAAATGGTTCTCAGTTTCCATTGAGATAGTGAATTGGGCCATGGGGCACAACCTCTGAGCCCCTGTAAAGACAAGGGTACCTGGACCATCTCTGGGAATGCCTGGACTCTACTGAGGCTCTTCATGAATAGATGGAATGAAACCTGGGCCTTTAACAAGGTTGGGAAGCTCTGGAGACCCCTTCCAGAAGTGCTTTTTAGATCTACATTTTGATTTCCTATGCAGTTACCAAAAAAGCTGATTAATCTAAATAGACCTGGAGTAGCCCATAAATTGTTAGACCCTTTGTGGATCATCAGCAAGAAAAGTTCACCCTAGCTCTGAATATTTTGCAGCACATCTCTGCTTCAAAAGTTCTTGAGCACCCATGTTCTATGGCCACTTGCTGCAATAAGCAGAACAACTTTATGTTTAAAGTCTGGCTGGAGCCAGCTCCACTGATTTCATTCTGAAGTGTCCTAGGGTTTGCTGCTGCTCTGGGTGATGCATGTAAGTTTTTATAGGATATTAGAATAGAGCCAAGGCAGCCAGCAGTGTGCTAGCCACTCTTCTGCTTTACTCATCATCAGAAGAATTCAGCTCGCTTCCACTTGCAAAACCTTGCCCTTGAGGACAGAGCTGTGTGGAAAACTGCTTTCTGGTTCAGCCAGCTAGCAAAAAAGTGTACTTTTGGGTCAACTGGAATAGCTGTGGTTTGTTTCTTGTTTGCTTGTGGTTTGGAGTTTTTGGGGTGTGGTTTTATTTTTGTTGTTTGTTTTTTTGTTCCAACCTCTCCCCCTTGTGAAATGAAGAAACCTGAAGTTCTTTTTGGGTTGACTCAACTGTTGGGGCTGTTTCAAGATAAAACATTGCATTTCTTTAAAATATCTTTTTGAAAAGGGTTAATAAATTTTAGTCAATACTGGATGATTAAATTTTTCTCTTTTTTCCCCTCTTTTTTTTCCACCTTGTCAAGAAATTCATAGAATCATAGAGTAGTTAGGGTTGGAAAGGACCTTAAGATCATCAAGTTCCAACCCCCCTGCCATTTAGTTCCATGCCCCCTATGGCATGTTGTGGTGGCATCATTTAATGTTTTAAGGGAATGTTTCTGTATGTCAAGCAGGAAACCTTAGTGAGGTTTTTTGAAAGACTGGAAAACCTGATTTCTGGCAAATGAATGTTATCTTTAAAGACTTTACTGCTCTGTTACTGCACCACCACCAGTCCAGGAAGAACCACAGACTGACTTGTGTACCTGGAAGGAGACCATCAACTCTTGATCTGATAATGGCCATGAAGTCAGAGCTCAAGTGCCATGGTTTCATTTTTGTCATGTGCTCAGAATCAGTTAGTGTGTTTTTTTGTTAGTCTGGTGTTTTTTTTTTGTGTGTGTATGTGTCTTGTTAATATCACTGTCACTTCTGGCAGGTGAGAAAGCCAGTGCAAAGGGGTAAATAACTTCTGCTTGTCCTCCTTGTGATGGACAGATGGCCTGACCTAAATTTCTGTTTTGTAACTAAATTCACCTGCGTTTTACTATGGAATATCTTCTTAAAACCTAGACAAGCTAACTCACACTTCTATCACTGGCAGTAACAGGCAGGAGCAGGCAGCACACTTTCTATCCATGAAAGAACTAAAGACATTCTATCTGTTTTTTAATATTACCTTTTTCACAGGCACTAATGCACCATCCTTGTAAATACCCCACAATTACTGAAACCTTCTAGAGAAAGATGCTAGTGCAGAAGTCCTATCAGAATATTAGAAAACAATGCTATTCTAAAACCATATTTAACACAGTTGTGGGAACAAATTTCCGTATTTTTATTCATTTAGTAATTGTAAAAATCATGAGGAAGGGTAGGATCTTATTTTTTTTCTTAACACACATGACAACTTTTGAAGACCTTTTCAGTGTAAATGGGACTATATTGTGTACATTTATCATAATCTTAAATCGGTCCAATGTGTCTAAAAGGTCAGGTTTTTTAGGAAGTACCAATCTTGTAAGAATTTAGTGGAGTCACTGGGATAATGGCTCCTTGAAAGTCCTTAGAAACTGCTGATTTTCTGGGGTGCAGCATTGCCACAAGTTAGACTTCCATTTTTTGGCACTGGTGGATTTCTTTTCTCTTCTGGGCACTTCAAGCTTTGCAAAGGGAATGTATTTCCCTTTGGGTCTGGCTCTTCATTCCTCATGTTCAACAAACCCTTTTTCTTTTTTATTACCTTTTCTGGAATCAGCAAGTAATTATATTCCAGGAATAGCACTTTTCTTTTTTTTTCTTTTTTTTATATGTCAGCAGGCTCATTCAGTTTATATCAGATGAAACTTTTCTGCTGTTGAATATGAAACGTATATACAAGACAGAGCAGGGAAAGTAAATGTGTTTAGCTTGAAACTGCAGAATGTTCCCTGGGCTTCTAAAAGTGGTCTTGTAGAAATGTCCTAAATAGTAGAACTGGAAAAATATTCAAGGTATTTAGTAACTCTACCTGTTATTTATCAGTATTGAAGCTTTGTTTCAGTTCTTATCCCTGACTGAATAGGTAGGCCATGCTGCATATGTTAACTCCTCTCAGGTCTTATGGAGACTTTAATCAGGGGGAAAAAAAGTCATTATATTAATTACAGAAACAGGAAATGCACACAACAAAACATTATTGGTTACCAGGCTGCAATGGGCTGTGCTAGGTAAGGCTACTGCTCTCTCTTCTGAAATGACCCACTTTTAGCGGTGTATAAACTCTCCAGACTTAGGCTGGATGTTTTCCATTTAGCCTTAGATGGAGCTATTCTCTAGAAAGATCTGATTTGAGAAGGATTGGGGTTAAAAATAAAAAGCTAGAGACAGGCAATCTTGTCCACTGTCAGCAGTGCTTATTACTTTTTCATCCAGGAGCTGTGCAGCAGCATCTCTTGGCTCTGAAAAAAAGATAGACATTAGAGGCAGGGGATAATTTTTTTTTTTTTAAAGCTTACAGGCTGCACCATCAAATCTCCCAGGATGCTGTGATTTGACTGACATTTTGTTGTCTGATGTATTCAGCAATTTGTGTGCATCTTTCTTTCTCATCAACTAACCTTCTCTTTCAAGTTTTATATAAGTTTTGAAGGGGGCAGAGAGATAGAAAGCGTGCTCAGTGTCCTACTGCTGAATGGGGATTAACAAAATGGAGGTGTGAACAGGACCCTCATGGCTTGGCCGTGGGATGCTGATGGGCACATTCTTCTCAAATCAGAAGTTACAGTAACGGGTTTAGAGCAGGAGTGTATGAGTTGAATTCACTACGTCCATCATACAGTGCAAGTCAGCTGTAAAACAAAATCCTGCAAAGATCATGGTTTTCCAGAGATGCAGCAGAGAGAGAGCATGTCGAACACTAAATGTCAGTAATGTGAGTGTAGAGGTGCTGGTAAGACTGTGATCATGTAAACTCTTTGGCACAATGTAAACACACTTCTATTTTTTAACTAAAATTAGGGTATTTTAGGTATTGGAAGATTTTCAGCCACATGTAAATGACTTCCAGAAAACACGAGTCTGTACTAGACATTTAAAATTCATCTCTTCATGTGATTTAGATCTGGAAATTCCTCTGCAGAAAGGTATTATGAACATCAACCCAAAAATGCTGACTAAGCTGAGGACTTCTTTAGCGCAGGTACCACTTAGAGTGGCATATCCTTCCCTTGTGTGACTGCAGTGTTAGCAGAATTAATGTAATGGCGGTCTTGCATGTGGACAACAAGTCTCGTCTGCTAAACACTTGCTTTTATGACTAGAAGGAAATTTCGGTGGGAAAAGGCATTTCATTTTGTCTTTTTAAGATAGATGCAGAGTATAGCTCAGCATGTGCATCTTCAGGAGTAGGTTCAGTGTTGTTTCCCATGACTCAAGCTGATATGTGATAGAACTTACAATGATGTAGGAAAACCAAATAATTTTTCAGGTGATGAGTCCAGTTTCAATAGGATAAATGTCTGCCAAAAACCTAAAGTCAGTTTGAAGTCTGCTCTGTGGATCTTGGAAATTGCTTTCAACAGGTCCTGACTTCAGCTGAGAGGGGAATGAAGAGGTTTTATACCTATCCTTGAGCAGTCACTGAAGGCTGGCTGTAAAACATTTTGCCAGGTGATTTGCCACAAGCTTTTCTGGTGCCTACAGGGCTGGGTTCAGGTGGGTGCACCAAGCTTTGGTACCGGCAAGAGGCTGTTTTTCCTACGGGACTGAGCTTGGAAACAGGGGAAAAATAAGATTTCTAAAATAATACAATTGATTCAATCACCTTGGTATTTTTTTCTTAACATATGCATAAACGCAACTTCATCTGGATGGTAAACAGTAACTCTGACTAGCAATTGTCTCCTGCCCTTTTACTTTGAAAAACACAGCGTTGCCTCTTAGCCGATGAATAAGTTGGTTCATGGGAGCAAAGTGTGCTTATCTAGCTGTTTTCAGGCTCTAATATGGGAAGTAGGTGATGCATAAAATGCTCAAATGAAGAACAAATTGACCAGAGGAAAAATATTCATTTAGATTTAATAAAAGGCATCTGGTTTTGTTGGTTTTGCTCACTGCACTAAGCTGGTCTATACCACAGATACTCTCTTGGTGTTAGGTATACCTGTTGCTGAACTTGTATTTTCATCTTGAACAGATAGTATAAAAAAGTAATAAATATAGCATTGGACTTCAGGTTAGAAATATCCAACCCACCAAACAAACAAAACTCCAAGCAAACACAAAACCAAGCAAACCAAAAACCGAAACAACCCCCCAAATAGACAACATTTCTCCTAAAAAGTTTATGACAACTACATACTTTCACTATAGGTAAGAAGTTTCAGTAGTAGTTTCAGTAGCATCAATAACTCTTCTCATTTTTCTGCTGTAAATATCTGAGATTAAAAAAAAATAAATAAAAATCCAACCAATTCCCCAGTTGTAGTGTATCCCTGATCCATTTGTACCCAGTGAGATGAATCTTCATTAATTTGTTTGACCAGCTCTACCTGGATTTTTTTACTTTGGTGCTAAAGTCAGAGTTCACAACTTCTAGGTTGTATAACTCGTAGCACCTTTGCAAATCTGTGGGGCTTTTAATTATTTCTCCCCTCCCCATCAATATGAACACTTGTGGTGAGCAGTGCATGGTGTCATTTCTTAGTCAAAGAATATTTAATCATAAAGAAAGAAAATCCCATTTCTGAGGAAGATTTGAAGAAGATTTGTGTTGAAAGACTTTGCAGGCAGCTAAGGCTCTTTCTTCTTTGATAGCTTCTCTGGTCAGTACCTTCCAAAAGCAAAGGGCATAGAAGCTGAATGTACAGTTGCTTGGGATTTTAAAATGAAAATTTATTTAGAAATCCTGGGGTCCTTAAGGGAAACAAGGTAAAAATAACTGCAAAACTGAAGTGGAAAGGAACATTGATATTCAGTGTATTTCTCACAGGCGGAGATTGACATTAACAGCTCTGCTGGGAAATTACAGTGCTATTGTTTAAATGCTGTGGAAATCCAAACAAAGACTAGGAAGCTACAGGATGCTCTCTGAAAATGTGAGCTTTCCTGAAAGAAAAGAAATTAAACAGTTAATCTCAACCCTCTAAATATTGATATAAAGATGTACAAGTTAAAAGGCTTCACAAGCCAGTACGACAGGGATGTGATATGGTGCTAGCCAGTCTCCAAGTCAATATTCTCAGTGCGTCTGTAAAGTAGTTTAATTTTATATGGTGTCTTAAAAAAGCAGATTCAAGAGAATAGTAACAATAATAAGTAATGGAGTTAGTGACTATATTGTCCAGGATTTGAGCTGCAGTAGCAAAATGGGGAATGGGGCCTGTTTCTGGATCCTAAACATAGCCTCATTTATGAAAAGTCTCCTGGAAGAGCATCCCTGGGACAGGGCCCTGTGGGGTGGGGGATCCCCACCCTCGGGGACTGCCCTGATGTAACAAGACCCTGCCCTGAGCAACCTGCTGTAGCTGTGGCATTGGATCTGCTGGAAGCACAGTCATGCTGAAAGCCTCCCCCCCCGTGCCTCCAGCTTGAGCTTGGTGGGATTGCTTGGCAATGTGGGTAATGCCAAGCCAGAGTGACTGCACATGTTGCTGCTTCACAAACGCAACTCTTGATGGGGTTTTTAGGTCAGAATAGAACAATGCAAGAGTCACTTGTGGGAAAATAAACATGGAGTTCAAAGCTGTGCTTTGAGGTCATTGCTTCCCCTACAGCCATTGCTTGAATCATAGAATCACAGAATGGTTTGGGTTGGGAGGGACCTTAAAATCATCTGGTTTCACACCCCTGTCGTGGACAGGGACACCTTCCCCTAAAGTAGGTTGCTCATTTATGTAAAGGACCTATAGACCTGTTTTTGGCACAGGACCAGATCACACTCATTTTTACAGCAAACCAGGCAATGGTCATTTTACAACTGCTTTGTCACCTTCCTGATTTTAAAAAGCTTTTTTTGTGACATATCAAATAAGTTTCTTTTCTCTGTTTACATTTGAGTGATCATCTGCAGTGCTAGGCAAGAGATGAGCAGACCTCAGGAAGGAAAGGATGGATTATACCTTGAAGTAGACATCCACAAATACCCCGAGACATACTGCAGACTGTTTTTTCTAGCTGATCAAGTATAAACATGGAGGGTACTCAGGAAGAGCAGCCTTTTGCAGTCAGGCCTGGTGTCATCTTCCCAAGATAACCACCAGTTGTCGCGCTAAGCACACTTGTTTTGGCACTTGAACATTCTTGTAAGGAGCAGAAAGCTTTTTAGCTCTGTTGCAGATGAGATGCTGAGCACTTTACAGAAATGTTTCAGTCTCCAAATAGACTGTTAGTGGTTTAATGTATCTGTGGTTGGCTAGGTGGCTGTCAACAGCTGTGTTATGCAGCTGGATGCTGCCCTTTGACACTGATGTCATTAGGTATGATACAGAACACAGAGCAGAAAAGATGAAAGTGCTTTGTTCTGTGACTGCAGCATACTGGGAAATGTTAAATTTGGTCTTAGTGCTTTATAAAATGAAGCTGTTGATGCAAGGACTGTGATGTACCTTGTCAACCCAATCACAAGGGAGAAGAGTAGGCTTTGGAGCAGAGCTCTGCTCTGTGTCCTATAGACTTGGGTGGAAACCTCTTCTGTGCCTTTTGCATTGCAGCCCATGGCTTGTTCACCTCATGCCATACAGTACTGAAAAGTCCCTAGTTTCTCAACAAGCTGCTGCTTCTGCTGTTTCTCAAATCTAGGCAATGTTAGCAGTATCAGCACTGCCATTAGGTAGTAACAGATTTGGCCATGTAAGGGACATCCTCTTCCAGACCTTTAATCTTTTCCCCACCTCAGTTGGCTGCTCTTAGGTCCTCATCTCCTAATTTCTCCCAGTCTGATGTGGAAATAAATAAGATGGTGTTTTAATTCCTCACAAAAAGCAGTGAGGTATATCCATTCTTGAGACAGAGATGCCCTGACTTGCCAGGACACAGACATGAGCATTCTGGTGTACCTGTAATGTTGACCCTGCTGGGAATGGATTTGGGCCAGGGTTGGTAAACTTGGTGTAGTTGTAAGACTGGGTGCCTGTGACAACTTTCCTGGAAAGATGATAAAACCTTCAGGAGAGTCCATGTCTCTTGGGTGACATACTAGTGGGAGTAACAAAATGTTTTAGGGGTGTTAGGTGGACCCTCAGACAATGCTTACTCATGCGCATGGTGGCAAACAAAAAAGCCTCTGACTGCCGTAATTTATGACCTATTGTTTTATTGACTTTTGAGTCCCAAGCATACAGAACCTGAATGTTTTTCTAGTCTGAATTGACAGTCCTTCAGAAAAGAGATAAAATAAAAACTAGTCAATATCTTCATGGTGAAGGTTGGGCCAATGAAAGGCTCTTGCCTAGAAGAAAACAGGAATATTTTGCTCATCTGAGAGCGCCACTGCGCAACAAAAGGAGATGGAAACATTTGAGATTTGGAACCGTGTTTTTTCTGCAAAAAATGAAAGTGGCCCAGTGCTCCTCTGGGAACCCTCTAGTTGGTTCAAGAGAAATGAAGGACATAATCATTGCTCAACATAGTACTATGCTGCAGGAAGTTGGAAGACTTTGGTCAGTTTTGTCATTCCCCATTAGGAACCTTGGAGCAGATATTTTACCAAGAATTTAATTCTTCTTGCCATGTATCTTTCCCCCTCTGTTTCAGAAGAATGAATCATTGGGATTTAATATTTGGGATTAAACATTTCCTACGTGTCAGAACCCCATTTCACAGCAACAATGCTATATTCAGGCTGCCTATATTGCTCATGCTGGGGAAACATAACTAACAAGTATGGCAGCTCATTTTTTTGGAGTATTACTCTCTTTTTCAGAGAAGCAAGTGATCGTGAACGCTCTTTCATTCCTGTGGTTTTGCAAGAATGAGAAAGTGCTGTGATGGGCCTCACAGCAGAAAAATGTGATAGGTCTCATAGCTGAAAAACGTGTATTCTTCAGCTTGAATTCCTGCAACTCCTGAAGTGGTTCTCATTTGCTCCCCATGTGGTAGTCCCTCGTGTGTGCTGGCTCTGGCTTTGCCAAGATTTGGGTTATAAATGTGCTGTTTTGCATGTGTCTTGGACAATACTCCTCAACAAGCATTATTCCTCCTCCTGTGCATGGTCTTTTAGTGTTTTCTGAGATACACCGGTCTGGTTTCTTCCTTCTGTCTTTGAAGAAATTGGGGAGTGTTTCAGATGTACCTACTGCCATTCCAGGTGAGGGTTGCAGAAGAACTAAAGTACTCCGGAGGATGAATTTTCTTGAAAGTTGAAGGGATTCTTATTATCAATTTACAATTATTTTTAATAATTCTGTATTTTAAAAAATTTTACAGAGAAGACAGTTCAGAAAAGCCTGCACCTAAATTTGTAATAAGATAAGTGATGGAAGATGATAAAAAAGGAAAGGGATTGATACAAGTCTGGTAGAAATTTACTCTTTTTAACTGAGTTATGACAAATTTGAGTGTTCAACATCTTGCAGAAATTACCACATGCAGAATGTGAGTGAAGATACAGTCTTAAGGACCAGAAATGCAGAAAGGGGAAACTCTTTGGGGATAGTATAGAGGGGGAAAAAATCCCAACAAGCCAGCAGGAATTCAGGCATAGACATTCAGATCATCTAAATTTCAGTGCTTTATTTCTGTAGCCCAAACAGGTCTTACTTTTTAAGTCTAATTTATTTTTTTTTTCCTTTCTCAATATTAAGAAGAAAAGTGCTCCTTACAGTCTATTCATTGACAGAAATGTATTAGGTTGCAGTGGGACGGTGAAGGAGGGGGAGATGAGACAGCCATATGTCACGGCTGCCTGAAGAATGAAAGGGAGCATGTCTGAGAGCATCAGCAATCATGCAAATGCCTACAGAGGGGAGAGTTAGTATTATTTATTTAATAACGTGCCAAAACCCACATAGGGCCTGGGGGATCAGATCGGATAAAAGTAGAATGAAATCCTCACTATCCTTAGAGTTGCTTGAGATTTTTTATTTTTTCCCTGCTAACCTCTGATGCTGTTGAGCAGTCATGGTGAGAACTCAGCAATAAGAACATGTATGTGATGATACCAATGTACCCAAATAAATATTTTCAGCTTCCTTTTTTCCTTAAGGAAAGTGACATCCTCCTTGTGTCATTCTGATGATGATTTTAATTTATAATAATACAAGAAGAAATTAAATCTATGGGCTCATATACAGAGCGGTAAGTCATAAGCAATAATGAGAAAATGTGCCTAAAAGCAAGAAAAGAATACAAGGAAATTCTTCCAACTTATCACTGCAAGAAAAAGACTTAATGTAGGACATCGCTGTATTTCTGTGACCTAATGCAATTTTGTAAGCCAAAATCCTAATCAGAATAGTTTTCTCCAAGTCAGTGTCTGCAGCATCATTTTGCTGGATATTTTGATGGATTGTAATTAATAGCAAGGTGGGTAAATTCAGTCCTGGTTTATTGAAATGTTTGAGCAGCACAGATGCTTTCTGTGATGTGAAGGAGGAATGCTACTGCACACTTTAGTAGATACAGGGTTTACAGCTCTAAGACATGCAGTGTATACATCCTCACATACTGCTCTTTGCCCAAAGCCAAATCAAAGGCACTTTTTGAAGGTGCCAGGCAGCAAGAAAAACTTAAGAAGCTCTGCAAAGACCCCAGCATGCAGGCCACTCTAACATCAGCTGCTGAGGGACTGGGAAGACTGGGTATTTTTGTTGGTTTGTTTAAATATAAATATCTCTTTTGCATTTTTATGTGCAAAGAAAAGTGGATGCTTTCTACTTCCCATTTGGGAAGTTACTGCATGGTGAAAAGGCCTCATAGCTGTTAGTAAATTAGACACTGAGGAGGTGACACAGTTTATTAAATTACCTGGTGAAATAGGGACTGAAATGACATTCACTGAAGATGGAAAGAGCACAAAATTAATCTTTCCTCTTTGTAATCTTAAAATGCCCTCCCATAACAAATTATCTTGTGCATGATGAGAAAAACAATTAAATCTGGAAGAAGGCAAAGAGTGCCTGGGCTCCATCTGAATTCAATTAGCACTTGATCTGGTACCACCCTGCTTTTGGCATTGCACCTATTCCCAAGGGGTGATTTACCAAATAAAGGTGAAAGGTGAAGGGAGAAGAGAGCTGTGTGAACAAGTCTGGGACGGGAGATGATGTGATTGATAGCTGTTGAGGGCCTGGGACTTGGGGCCCTGTACCAGTAGGACATGTTGCCACATCTTCTCTTGCACTGCACCCATGTCTGAAGAAAAACCCTCTAAATAAACATATATGAAATATCTGCTGCCCTTTAAAACAAAAATACTTTTGATAGATTCCTTAGCCATTGCTTTTATTAATTCTGTCCCTCAATAACTGCAAGTGTAAACCCCTCTAAATGTTGGGAAGTCCTACCTAGTGCTCCAACTGTGTCATCCATTAGACAGCTGCATCTCGTAGGAAGCTGCCACAAAATCTTAGCTGATATTGAGGGCAAGGGGGGAAGAATTCTCAGACCTTTGTCACTATTTAAATAGATTATAAATACTGCTTTTTATTTTTTAATGCCCTCCCCCCCCCTTTATTTTTTTACATCGGGGGATTGCTGACTTCATACAGCTCCTCCAAAACACAGTGCTGTGACCTCAACTCCACCCTATTGTTGGAGAGGCTCTTTGCTTGCAAAAGTGAATTTAAAAGAGAAACGGTGGGGGTTGTAAAGGCAGAATAAAAGCCAGGTTATTGATTTTTATAAAAATCCAGCATCACCTTTGATACTCTGTTAAAGTTACACTAAGGGATAGCTGGCGTGGCTTCCAGTGGGATAATGACAGTCCCAGTCTGCGTAATGTCTTTATGCTTCAGGCTTGTGAAGTTATCTGCCTTTATTAGAAGGAGCTTTAGTGAGAAATGAAGGTGCTGAGCCTTCCTGGGTTCGATAGCTGGCATATTTTACATATCTACTTTCTGTAAACTGTTTTCTATAGTGCTTTGTACAGAAAAGCTGCTGGGAGCCAAGAAAATATGCTCTGGCAGTGCTGGCCAAAGCTAAGGGGGTGACTTCCAGTAGCATATTGCATTTTTCTCCTTTGTACATGAAAAGTTGTTGTGGATGTTCACCCACAGTTGGGAATTAGTAATTGGAAATGGAGGGGTGCACTCCTTCGAGATGCTCTGCAACTGGTGCATCTGGCCAAACATTGCCCTTTCTTAGATGTTCCCATGCTCTTTTTTTTTTTAGAAAAACTATAATCCCTTGGGGTACCACTGGTTGGATTTCAAAGCTGCATTTTAAAAAAGTGCTAATAAAAGGAGCCAATAATAAGGTGGTTGTAAAACTCTTTGCCAACTCTTGTAGAAGCAGCTAGTTTCCCCTAGTCCCCCATTCTTACCATTGGAAACAGCTGCAACTGTCCTTATCTTAAAAGCAAAATATTAGTAATGGGTTATCCAGTATAAATGGGACTATCAAGAATAAATTGGACTTTGCTGTGTTGTTATTTTCTGCAGCTGCCTGGTGAATTTGCAGGAAAGGTGGGGCAGCTGCATAACCTTTCGTCCCTAGGAATAAGGTGGGATAACATTGAATGCTCTCATTACTGCAGGGTCGCTGGCTGTGTTCCTCCCAACCCACTTGCCCTGAAAGGTTTCCAGTTAAGAGCTGCCTTGCTCCTTGCCTGGTTTGTCATATATATAGGATGCCTGGAAGACTTAAGAGGGTCAAAGTCAATTAAGGCGTCTGGTCCTACTTAGCACCTTAATTCTTCTTGCTGTTGCTTTGTTGCAAGGCTGTGTTTTACCTCTGTGTTTTTTTGAAAGATGCTCATCTTTAGATAAAACCACAATTGCTTTAGGCTAAGCCCAGATACTGTACCAGGTGTGTTCCTGGAAAGGCTGATGGATGATGAAAAGTACTTTGGATGATGCAGAGACAAAGGGGAGGCTGCAATTTTGCAGGCTTTGCAAACTGCTTGTTCTGCAGGTAACTCTTATTTGGGCTTCTCCAGATGACCTTGAAGTTGCAGTCGTTGCTGAAGGTAAAATAGTCACAGCAAGTCACCAAGGAGAGTTGCCAATCAGTTCATGGATTCAATTTAATGTCTGTTCTTAGTGGCATGTACATATTACACATATAGAGATAGCCCTCAATCAAATCCAAAGTTGATGATTATGTTTTCTCTTCTATGACTCCCAAGCAACCAAAGCCAGATGGGGTATTAATAATAATCACATGCTAGACTGCTCATATACTTAAACCCAAGGTTGCATGGAAGAGAAGGCAGGTTGGGACCTGCTGCTGCTATCCTGCTGTCCTCTGCTACAGAGCTTTTATTTCTTTTAAGTAAAACTCTATCAAAAGAGAATGAGTGTTATAGGCAGTGCCTGTACTTGGGATCGAGTAACGTATTGGTGAAGACTGGAGAGCCTGTCAGTACATGGTGGTGATAATAAGATCTTAGCCATTGTTTTAATTAATAGTAAATATGTAATTATGCCTAATTTTCAGTATGCTTGGAGTTTTCTCTGCACTGCTGGCCCCTAAGGCTGCGAAACAACTCCAATCCAAAAGTGCTGCTACTGGGGCAGAAACATGGAATTGCAAGTTCCAATTAAAAAATGAGCATTTAGCTGGGTTTTAAAAACCTCTCTGGGGAAAATTACATCCTTCTTCTGATGCACATGTTACCACTGTGGGACAAAAATGAAACAATTACATTTGGGAACCATCTTGTGACTTATACTTGTTGGAGGTCCCTGCTGGTCTCTTGCCCTCCCTCTGCTTTCCTTGGTCAGGAAAGAAAGAGGGTTAGGGAATGGCAGTAGCACAGCCAATATGAATGCCAAGCACCTTTTCTTCCTCTACAAATATCTATGAGCCCAAGGGTATTTGGGGTTTGGTTTTCTTACACGTATTCTGCTGTTTTTCTTGTGATGCTTCCAGGTTGGTCTTGGCAATTATTGAAGTGAAAAGTTACTGCTGAAGTTATTGGATGCTGAAATTCTTCAGGAGTCACATACCTTGGAGACCGTAAGAAGAGCATTTAATGCCCTGCATCCTGCCATCACACGTAGGTCATCTTGGTGTTTCTGGGGACTGAGGACTACCTCCATCTCAAATTAAAATCATATTATAACTGTACACTAATCTGGTATGAAGTACTTGTGTGTTGCTTGGTTATCATCTCTCTTTAAACTGTTATTTGAGTACTTAACCCAGTTCCTGTTTTCTGCATGGAGGCCAAAGCTTATAGGCGGTCCTCGAATCTGAATAATGAGCAGTGAGTTTAAAACATAACCCTGAAAAGCCTGGATTGATATTGGTGAGCTATGACTGCTTGATTATGTGTTTTATAAGGAAATTATGTATTTTCTGATGCGTTTCTTTCTCTAGCTCGCCACAGCAGCTACTTTCACGAAGGCCATGATGACTGCAGGGACAGTGCTCCTCTTTCCCTGAATGAAGCATCTTTTAAAGAAACAAGATTTTAACAAGGAAACATATGAAGATGCTGAACATCGGTGCGTGCCCGAGCTCCCTCTCCCCAGCATCATCCCTTCCCTTCCGGAGCAGTGGGTTGAGGGCCTGTGTATCTAAATCTTTGCCCTGTACTACACGATGGTTTCCTACACGAGATGGCGCTCTTCGCCTAGCAATAGACTAAAAGGCAATTAATTTTATTAATTACTATTCACCCCCCAGCGCTTGCTCCCCTCTGTTCTGCCTGACCCCTTGGCCCAAGGGTTGCTTCTAAGCTACGGATAGGAATTGAGAGCAGCTCTGACTGCAGTTTCCAACCACACATGAAAGGCTGGGGGACAGATAGAAATGTGCTAAAACACCCCACCACCTCCAACTCAATGAAGAGAGGCTGCTAATTGATTTTTCCATCTTAATTTGAGACTCCATTGATACGTCTTGTCCTCCAAGCCCAGCTCAGATGCTTTGCCTCATCCTTGTCTTCCCGTCCTCCCCCCCCCCCCCCCGGAGGCCTTCAAGCCCCAAACCCAGGCGACAAGACCCCATGGCTGCCTCAGGTTGGGGCGCAGATCCTGAGAGCTTCCTGTGCACATTTTGTCCCCAAGGCCTGGCTGTGGGGCTGGGCCAGGTTCTCCCTTTATGTCTGCAGCAGGGAGCTCCTGTCCTCCTTACTGGAAGCAAGGATGGTTTGGGAGGGAAATGTGATAGGGGAGCTGATGGTGTCCTTTGCCAGCCAGCATTAAAGATTCATGTGCATGATGGGCTCTTCCAAATAAGTCCAGGAAGGGTGAGTTTCTGCCTCCTCAGAGCTGCTGGCAAGCACTTAGGCTGCCTGCCCTCTCCAGCCCCCAGCCACCATCCCCCTGGGAGACCAGGTGCCACCAGGGCCCAAGCGTCTGTATGCTCTGCTCCCTCATGGTATGTGGTGCAGACTGTCTATGCATGCTGGGATGAGGGGTACCCCATATGGAGGAAGTTGGGTGCCCCCTAGGATGATGGGGGTGACCAGCATGTGTGTGTGGTGACCTGGAGGAGGGTGGGGAACAGAGCACCCTCGTGGGAAGCAATGTAGGTGCCCAAGAGGGGTGGGATGAGGGGTGCTCCAGGGGGGAAGTCCACAGAACGTCGTGGCAGGGAGGGATACAGGGTGCTAAAGCAAGGACAGAGGTCGAGTACTCCAGGGATGGGGGTACCCAGGAGGGGTACTACAGCAGCGCGGGATGTGGAGTGACCCGGGGTGTGGGATGCTGAGCTCCCGGGAGGGAGGGCCGGGCGGGGAGGGGGGCGGCTCCACATGGCTCATTAGCAGAAGGCAATTTAATATTTATGAAGTGCTCTTGTTTGAATCCCAAGTCTTCGGCTCCAGTTACAAGGAGCTGCGTCACCCTTCGATCACATGGTAGTTGTTGCTATTTCCAGGATCCCAGCTTCGCAGAGTGGCACAAAAGCTCTTTCCTCTTTTCTTGTCTTTTTCCTCTTCTTTCTTCCTTTCTGTTTTTGCCCTCCGCACCCGGGTTTCCCGCTCGCCGGCTGCCGACGGAGCGCAGGGCTGCGTTTGGGGATGCCGGGGCCGCTGCCCTGACCCGGGGCGGGCAGGAGCCGCCTTCCCCCCGCCCCTCTCCCGGGGAGCGGATCTGGCCGCTGCTCTCGATGAGAGCTGCCCGCTCCGACCCGGGACCGGCTCGGCACTAGTGCCGGGGGGGGTTACCCCCAAAATGACAGAGCTGGAAGGGGACTTCACTAAGCTGCTGCTGCTGAAGGAGGAGCGGATCAAGGAGCTGGAGCGGCGCTTGGGAGAGAAGGACGAGGAGATCCAGGAGCTGCGCCGGCGGCTGCACAAATGCCAGTCGGTGCTGCCGGCCCCCAGCCCGCACATCGGGCCCCGCACTACCCGGGCACAGGGTATCTCGGCCGAGCCGCAGACCTATCGCTCCTTCCACGACCTCCGCCAGGCTTTCCGCAAGTTCACCAAGGCCGAGAGGTAGGGACGGGCACCCTCCTACGAGAAACCCATTCCCGAGTGGAGCGGCCAGGAGGGAGGAAGAGAGGCAGGCGGTGGGACATCGCAACCCCTCCCCCCCGCCTTCCCGGCTCGGGTCCCCGGAGAAGCGGCATCGATCGTGCCCGGGGGGCTAGAGGAAGCGCCGGGCGCATTAGGGGCTTTCAGCCGCCGGGAAGGAGCCCTGCGGGGGATCGGATAACCCATTACCGGCGGCCCGGCCCCCCTTCCTTTCCCTGCCTCGGCTCCGCTCCGGCTCCCCGGGGTGAGCTCGGCCGGGGGCGGGGGGGGGGGGGGGGGCTGGGAGGACCCGGCGGGGCGGGAGGCCGCGGTGCCTTCCCGGAGCTGGGAAAAGTTTGCAGCGGCGCCGGGAAGTTCTTTGGCCGCTGCCCGAGGCCCTAGGCGGGCAGCACCCGCCCGCTACATACCCCGGGCAGGTGATGCTTCTCCCCCCTAAACCTGTCCGGACCCCATCCTCCCAACGGGTTCCCCAAAAGCTAAAGCTCACGCTCCTCCACCCGCGGGCTTTGCAGCGGTGCTTTGCCTCCAGCTACTCCCCTGCGCCGGGGTCAGGCATCCAGGGAGGGGGAAGTGGTGGTGTGGGGAGCGTGGTCTGCATCCCTCAGTCCGGGTACTCCGGCAGTTTCAAGCGCGGTAGTCTTGCCTTAATACACCGTGTGAAACCGAGGGAGCGCGGTGCTGGTCTGGATCCCGGGGGATTTTGAGCGTTACGGGGAAGTTGCCGTGGGATCGCACAAGTTCTGTGCGACTGCAGCGCGCGGGACCAAGTATCACCCTCCTTTCGACAGAAGCTGTCTCTGGCTTTCACCGAGTTAGAGATGGTCTCGATTCTTCCGTGCGTGACCGTTCATTTCAGCACAATCATTCCTGGCAGTATTTCTCCTAGCCGGGTGTATCTGGGTGTGGATCCCCACCGCTCTCCGCAATCTTCTCATAAAATGTACCTTGTCGGTACCCAGATCAAACTCCTGCCCTTTCCTCTGCTCTTCGTTAACGAGACTATTGCTCGTTTGAAGATAAATGAGGAGTGCTTGGCTCTGGGCTTTTTTTGTTGTTGTTGGGTTGGGTGTTTTTTTTTGTTTGTTTGTTTTCTCTTTTTGTTGGTATTTTTTTCTCCTGACTGTATGGGTGATTTCATAAAGCAAACTGCTATGCACAGGGAGGTGTGTGACTGCCGGCCATGCAAGCAGAGCGTGTCCATCTGTCCTCCCTGGGTTAGCACATCCCTTTGTATGCCTGGCCCAAAGCACAGGCTGCGTATTGCAGGTGGAGAAGAAACCCAGGTCCGGCTTCTTCCTCTGCCATTTCTTTTTTTGAAGGCTGTGATAGTCCTGAGCCTCAACTACCACAGGGGAAGGTGACAGCAACTTGACACCTGGGGTAACGGCAGGGACCCTGATGCTCACCCATGTGTAATAACTCACTTAGAAGCTATTAAACCTGCTCGTGGCCCTGCGGAGTTCTAATCCTCACCTGAGTCTTT